ATCGATGAATGGGATGAAGTTTAAAGAAAAATTGGTGACATTTTTGTAAATATGTTAAAGTTTAGCCCACACAAAGTGCCCCAATGTATACATATAGTGCATTATTGTGCTTACGAAGTGATTATATTTTAAACAAAACATGTTAGAATCAAAATTGTTGTTGTTGGTAGAAAATAGCTCGAGAGAGAAAGCGGCAGAACTTCAGTACAATAAAAATAACGTAGTGAATACATGGGGTGTGTATAAATAATCCCACCTAATCCCATGTCAATTTCTGCTAATCGGGGTGTGTCCTAGGCCTGGTCAGTCCTAGGCCCAGGAATAACGGTCCGGTAGTACTAGACCCGTACCATTCTTCTAACATAAGTCCCCCACTCCCTCAGTCGTGTAGTAGACTCGGCTAAAATGGAGTAGTTTAGTTATTTTGGAATCAACCTGTTCGTTGGTCCGGTTGGCCGGTCGCATAGTTGTCTATTTTGATCCCACCTCTTGTGAAAAGGTAGTGTTCTTCATTTAGGTAGCAGCCCAGGGTCTTGGGGGTCAATTAGCAGCCCTGGGTCTTCATTGTTCCGGTCGGGGAGACCTTTTCCTCTGTTTGGCATCTAGTGCTTCAGCCTGGCGGTTTGCACGCCTTAGGGCATCCTCGTACAAAGTGGGCAGATTCATGACAAAATCCTTATAGAGCTCCCTTGACCGAATGGAATTTCTGAGCATAGCTACCTCGGTCTTGTGGTCAAGGCCCTAGACCTTGACCGAATTGAGTACTCGACCCTCCATCTTGCCAAGAAAGCTAACATGGCCTCCTTCTTTTCCTGCTTCAGACTGAATAGGTGACTGGAATTCGTCTTCACATCTCGGGAACCGGTGAACCTCAAGGGAAAATGCCTGGCCAGCTCCATGAAATTTCCAATGCTTCCTTCTGGCAATGTGTCATACCATTCTTGAGTCAGACCGCCTAGCGTAGCAACGAATCCTCTGCAACAAGGGGAGTTGTTTTTTAAATGCAAATGGACTTATGGGTCGACTATTTGACTTGATATATATACTATACATGTGACTTGAAATGGGGGTAGTTATAGATTATGCCCATAATCTAGTATCACCCTATGTTGAGGGTCTTGTGTTCGAAACATGGATTATATGTCGTATAGTTGTCATTGTACTTTTCAAATGCTTCAAAGTACTGATCTTCCCTTCAAGGGGGGCCACCTCACAGTTTTCAGGTAGAAGCTAGAGTTTGCTTCCTGTTCACGTTGCTTGGGGTGATCTATGAAAAGAAGACGTGGTACGTGCTTCTTCTAGTTCTATTTTGATATAATAAAATGATGCTCATGGATACTATTTTGAACTATAAATGATTTGGGAGCCTGCGTGCTCATGTTTGCCCTGTATGGCCTTTGATTTTAAAAAGTACTCCCTCCGTCCAGGAAAATTTTTCCCGGTTTGACTTGGATCGGAGTTTAAGAAAGTGAGAATAAAGTGGAAACGTATGATTGTGGTTGAGTACGAAAAAGGTAAATGAATGGTAGCCACACAAACCTTCCAAAAAGGGAAATGGGAAAAAGAAATTGGGACATCCCAAAAAGGTAAGTAGGAAGAATTTTTTGGGACGGAGGTAGTATTTGTTTTCCGTTGCGTATTTTGAAATGCTTGACTTATGATTATTTATGGTTGTACTTGTGTGAATGGTATTCATGTACGCCTTGCATGGTTCGAGTGAGGTAGACTTCAGTTGCCTTAATCGGATTGTGTGACGGTTGTTAGCGTGTCTGGCCAGTCCGAAGCGTGACATAAATACTGTAACAGATTAGCCAACACAGATTTTAAGGGATGCAGTTTAATGGTTACGTAATTGAAGACATTAGGCATTAGGAATTTGCAAGTATGTTTTTATCATTAATGATGATAGCTTTAACGTAAAAATTGCACTCGAAAGTTACACCTAAAAATTTATATTCTCTGCTACTTTATTCTCACTTTCTTAAACTCCGATCCAAGTCAAACCGGGAAAAATTTTCCTGGACGGAGGGAGTACTTTTTAAAATCAAAGGCCATACAGGGCAAACATGAGCACGCAGGCTCCCAAATCATTTATAGTTCAAAATAGTATCCATGAGCATCATTTTATTATATCAAAATAGAACTAGAAGAAGCACGAATCACGTCTTCTTTTCATAGATCACCCCAAGCAACGTGAACAGGAAGCAAACTCTAGCTTCTACCTGAAAACTGTGAGGTGGCCCCCCTTGAAGGGAAGATCAGTACTTTGAAGCATTTGAAAAGTACAATGACAACTATACGACATATAATCCATGTTTCGAACACAAGACCCTCAACATAGGGTGATACTAGATTATGGGCATAATCTATAACTACCCCCATTTCAAGTCACATGTATAGTATATATATCAAGTCAAATAGTCGACCCATAAGTCCATTTGCATTTAAAAAACAACTCCCCTTGTATAGCCCTTGGCCTATACTTGCATATAGCAACCTTTGAGAGGGTTACACCACCCCCTAGTCTATACCCAATTCCATTGAGAGAATTGCACATTCTATCCCTTGTACTCATCCATATTGGACTTACACACCCTACGGCTGTATTCAATCGTTTTGGGCTTACACACCCAATATAATATCTTTGTTCTTTTTAGGGCTTACACACCCCGTATAACGCTTTATTCGTTTAGGGCTTACACACCCGAATATAATCTTTATTTGCCTAGGGCTTACACACCCCGAATATAATCTTAATTCGTGTAGGGCTTACACACCCCGAATATAATCTTTATTCGACTAGGGATCACACACCCCAAATACATCACATAGCTTCTATATCTTTGTTTGACCGTGGCTTCAACCACAACAATACTTATTGTATTCGAGAAATCGTAACTTATAGTTTAGGGTACACTCCACATTTTCATTTGAGTATGACCGTAGTTCATCACTCATTCTAAGTCCATGTCTATCTTAGTCAATATCCAAGATAGAACACACAGGTAATCTCTAAGGATTCATATTAAATTGATCATGACAATAACTCAATGATTCCTTACTTCACGTTTCACCACTTTGTCTATCCACATAAATATCCATTTATCCTTTTTAAGATCATATGAAAATCACACACTTACCAACATTTGTTTATATCATTCTAATCTTTCAATATCAATTCAATAATCACAATATTTCAAGGATTCCTCCCTTCATGCATAGTCCCTTTGCTTATTCACCTTTCTATAATCATTTATCAATTACCATGTCCACATAGCAATAACACATTTTTCAAATTCAAATATATCATTTAATATCATCAAAATCATATTTTGATTACTTAGGTAATCTCATGCTCAACTCACTAATTATAAACAATATAGTCGGTCATCTTCACCTTAAATATGTCCCATAAGCTTGCATATTGAAGCCCTATCGTTAAACCTTCAATCGGGAATGATCCGAAATGAGATTTTTGGGCAGAGGGAAAAAGCCGCCCGACTTTTGCAAAAGCTGCCCGACTTTCGGGCCCTGCAACACAAAAAAGCCTCCTAGCAATGGCAGTTTCCGGCGATTTCGATTTCTATCGATTTAACAACTCTTCTAAGTTAAATACCAACACTTTATATCATTTTTCTACACTTTTAAATGTGTAAAACATCCCTCTGAATCCATCATATGATTTCTATAAAATCATATATGAAAAATATATAAAAAGAAAGAACAAGAACCGGAGCTACGAGATTCTTACCGCTAGGGCTTACCTCTCCTTGGATTTTCTTCCTTTCTTGGTCTTGTTTCCTATTGATTTTCTTGTTGTGAGTGTGGAGCTCTTCAAGCCTCCTCCCCACTCTAAATCTCACGCACAACCTCTCAAAATGAGGGGATAAGGAGACTCCCCTCCCTTATCCTTCTATTTTTAGAAACTTGGACCAATAGTGGTCTGGGCTGTCCAACTAATTAATTATATCAGCCCAAACTCTTTATAATTGATTCCCCCTTTATATTGGGCTATCTTTTGTATGGGATATTCCCAATTAAGGTGTAGGAAGCCCCCTACCCGTATCCTTGCTATTTTTGGTAATTTGGGCAAGAATGTCACTTCGGTTGTTCATTCTTTCCTAGTCCGACCCAAACGACTTTTATTCATTTATCTAAATTATTTTCATCTAGTATACGTTAATAGGGCGATCCTAAAATGTATTAGATAGTTCTCTCCAATATTCCAGACTCAAACCCCTTTACATTTCTATTTTTAGTTCGGGACTCGAATGGTCTCTTGTATTATCCCTTACCTTCTATTCGTCCCAAACTTTCATATATTACTCATTACCTTATCCTTGGGCCTTTGATTAATTTGGCACGATCCAAGAATATATTAATTAGTCCCTCCCAAATCCCAATATTTAGGGTCTGACACACAATATAATTAATCGGTATTAATTTATTAAATTAATCATTTAACGAATGATTAACATACCAATAACTTGTATTCAAAATGAATATTACCATCATGAAGGCTATCAATTATTCATATTATAATTAGTATTTATTTTTTTTAATAAAATTTAAATATTGATGGATCTAAAATCCAAGTTGAGGTTGGGAGCGGTGTCACGATTTACCCCCCAATAGTTGTGCACTACAAATAATCTGGCAAATCCTAAATGTCATGCACTACAAATAGAGTTTCATATGTTTTAGATAAAACTGTTTTTACATAATTAAAAACTAGTATTTTACCCTTTAGGGATGTCAAATGTGAAGTACAAATATTATAAATGGGAGCTGTGTGTTACTGCAACGTGTGACAAAAGGAAGAGAAAAAGGAATAAATATTAGGGGTAAAATAAGAACCGGGACTCCTATTTTGAAAATAAAAAATGCATGTTTCTATATTTGCATTCCTTCTGTGTTTTACTCTTTAGGTCAATTTCTCTTTTAAATTTGACTTTGCGCCTCATTTGGGAGCAAAATCAAAGAAAATAAAACACCAAGTCTGAATAAAAATGGAATGCGAATACCCAATTTCCTAAGAAAAAGAATATAGTTATTTAAGAAGTAACCACGTTCTGGTAAATTTCAGTTGTTCATCCATACATTGAAAATGTGATATTTTTCTCAAAAGGATTTATAAGACAAGATCCTTCCGTTCAAGGGAAAACTAAGTGTACTACATACACATCATCAAGACTATTGAGAGCCCAACACCAAACCCTTCAATGCAGGCATCAATGCCTCAAGAAGTTCTCTTTTGCTCAGAATCCTATCTGATGAACAATCTCCTTCCTGTCGTCATATGTAAAGTGAAAAGGCATAACAAAAATTAAATGATGTTATTGTTTAATAAAAATAGATTGTTCATATTTATGTCCTCTAAATTCAAGACCATATAATAATAATTTGTGAATGCCACATTAATAAGAAAATTTCCCAAATGAAGAAATACTCACATCGCCAGTTGCAGCGGACATTAGTGCCAAAAGGCTCCACGTTGTGCTCTGGTAATCTGTTAGGCTCTTGAAACCAGCATCATCCAGCTTATCCTGAAGAAATTGTCAAATTACAATAAGATTTTATTTTCTTGACAAATATTTTATTTTAGTTAAGTTATGCACCCATAGGAATTAGAGGTACTAACTCACAAATGCGTGTTCAATTAGGAGTCGCCTAAAAGCATCATCAAGAGGTGAGATTTACGTCACACTTATATAAACTGGAAACTGTCATGTAATTGATATAGGATACTCAACACATCCTCCTGCCCAAGCTGGGGCGGACAAATCAGCCAAACACGCTATATGCCTCCAAATGGACTGCCCCACATCAGAATGGCAGGCACCCCACAGACTAACAAAGGACCAAACTGTCATACTAGACTTGAACCTAGTAGATAGCCGATATGGGATAAACAACATGTCAAAGAACAATGGGCTAGGCGCCCACTAGGCAGAAATGAGGACTACTAGAGCCTAACACCTTATTGAGATGATTAATCAAGATTAGGCAAGATCATGGTTGTCATGGACTTACGGCAGCCAGGCGAGGTGCGCCCACCTAGGTGACTAGGTGCACCTTATGTAATATTTAAATATATGAAAAATTATTAAATATATTTAATTGGTAATATTTTATTGATAGGGATGAGGCTGTAAATAATAAAGATGATAAGTACTTTGGCAGAGTTTATTCTAGAAGAGGAAGGAATACTAGTTAGTTGAAAGCTATTGAGCTAGCACTTTCTGTTATTAGCTAACTGTCTGTTATTAGCTGAGAAGATATAAATAACTAGTCTGGGAAGGGGATAGTCAGGCTGTTAGACAGTTATTTTGGGCTGGGAAGAATAGAGATACTTTGTGTCTTTCTTTGGGAATCCATTGTACTTTCGTCCTCCATTAATGAAAGCTTGAGTTTGTTTCTTGAATATTAATTCTATTTTCTGTACTCATACTGTCATACATACCTGCGACTCTGCGAGAGCCTTATCATTTATACTCCGTATATTACAAGTTAAATTATATATTACCTAGAATTTAAACCAACAACTAATAATTCAAAACAAGGTTTATTAATTCAAAACAAGAGTAAAATATCCATCTCAAAGTATAATAATATACTGCATAAAAAAATTAGGGAATACAACAAAGATGAAGAAAAATAGTATAGGAAGGATACTAAAATACAAAATGCATTGTCTACCTACAATATTGTCAAGCTACTCAAGCTAAAATTTAAATGCATAAATCCAGAATAAATATATTCTAAATAATTAAGTACGACATTAAAAAGTGGTAAATGCTATATACAAGTACACTGTATCCAACATAATAAATAATTATAATAGGAACTGGAATATATCCAAGAAGGAGCTAGAAGAAAACAAAATGGAGAAAAAGAGGGAAAACGTAGAAAGAATGGAAAAACAGGACCCAGGAAAGAAGAATTCAGTCATCGATTTGAAATCCTCCTTCAATTGGAGACCTGGAGTTTAACTGTGCCTTTCAATGATTCATTCATACAAATCCTTAAGTAAGACTTGGGCTTAATTTATAATAGTCCTAATTAAAGAATTAAATTGGTTTCCTAAATTGTACGGAGTATTTTCTAAATCTTACTTTTTGGGCTCGGTTTAGTCGGTCTAAGTTTCAAATCTGTCGTCGCCTTGTTGCCAAACCTACACCTGGACTGCTCCTGGATGTGATGCCGCAGTCACCAGTCTTCTTCTAGCGAGGTAATAGCACCTGACAAGCATTCCCTAACGCAGTAGCGCCCAGCACCTACTCGCCGACTAGGCGACGCCTAAGCATTAAAAACATAGGTTCTCAAGAAGAGCTCAGTGCGTAGGTGGAGATAATAGAGGCTAGGCGGCTTAGGCGCATATTTTCACAACGTAAGATATCCCTACTCATCGCCCTAAACCTAGCTATTCTTCTATCAAAATAGACATTAGTTTATATATAAAAAAATACTAAACAAGCTATCAAGGGCTCAATGCTGCTAAAATAGTGAATATGTAAAAGGTACCCATCCCATAATATTTTGTGAATGAGGTCTTAGTACGAGTTTTAGAAATCAATATCATCTTTCCAATGAGATAAAAATAATTACAAACAATAAGAAGACATGCATATAAATATTATATATCGCTGCTCCAAAAATAAATGTCCACATCAAAGACAAGATGTACATAGGGGGAATGAAAATTTGGGACTGCTAAGAACACTTAACGGGAAAACAACCTTTAAGCGTGACACAGCAGCAGAGATCGCCCTGCCTGGAGCTTGAAGCGCTTTACCATGAACCTGTGACCCCACAATGATGGTTAGATCTATCTAAGGTTAAAATGGATCTACACATTCTTGTAACTTACTATTATCCAGAAATTAAACCAGATCGAGAAGGTAGTGACTAGTGACTGACCTGTACATAAAGCAGAGAAACTACTTTGGGTAAAAGGGAAACTGCATCAGTCTCAGTGGACACTTGAGATGTCAGATCCTGAATGAACAACATATTTGAGAAGCCACAGAAGTAGCTAAGTACACTTGGCAAAAGAGAAGGCACACTTCAAGCATACATGGTACAAGCTACAATAATATAGGTCTACCCATTATCTTTTTTTAACTGTTTAAATGAAAATAACATTAAATTGAAGCCATCAAAGTCAAACATCATAAACTTTCAACATTTGCTAGTATACCGTTCCATTTGGAAAAAACCAGATCACTCAAGGAGAGTAAATACAGAGTATGATTTTTTTAGTTCAGAGTGCAAATAAAATTTCATTTTACCTTGTGTAAATGAAAATTTATAAGCTAAGAAACTGCATTAAAATTCAAACACAGCATTATGAATTCAATATTGTAGATATATACATAAAGTAAAAAAACAGTTAAAAGAAATTTTCCTGCATTGGTAGAACTGTAGAAGTAATCAATGATACCTTACGATATGAATGCAAAAGAGTCCTCTCCAATTTCTTGTCCAGCTTTTTCAGCATCAATCCACTGCAAATAACACAACCACGCATTATTTCAATAGTATGCCTGGGATACAAAAGCTATAAAAATATACACAACTGATAGAACCCTGTGCTTCTACCTTTCATCAGTCAGGGCTCTCAGTGCTGTCATAAAAGCTTCCACCCGCTGCCGAGCACAACAAAATGAATGACATCAGAGCCCAACAGACTACAAATAAGGAGAGAACTCTCAAGTATATTCCATGCATGAAAATTCCAAATCAACAGCACCCAAGAGATACAGAATCAACTGAGCTCAAAATTAAAATGTTAAGGTTGTAGTCCCTATCATTATTATAATAATAAATATGTTATTACTATTACTAGAAATATTATTACAATCATTATTAGTAGTATTGTTATTATTACAATTATTGTTCTTATTTGTCCCGACTAAATCTATGCCCCTCAAATATAGTAATGAGTTATTGAAATGTGCGGGAAACTCTGTAACTGGCATCTAAATAAAAAAATAGAAAAATCATGTGATCCACTAAGGCCCTGTTTGGTTGGAGGGTTTCGGAGGGGAGGGGAGGAAAGTGGGGGATTTGTGTGTGTTTGGTTGAAGGAAATAGGGGGGAATGAGAGGAAAGTGGAAGGCTTTCAAAATCCTCCACTTCCTCCCATTCTAAACCCCCAAATCGGGGTATTTCGGAGGAAACATGTTGATAACCACAAACTATCCATCTCCTACGTGAATGAATAAAACGTTATAATATAAAAAGGTAAAAAACAAAAAGTTTTGAAAAATTTAAAGATTAAAAAACTTAAAAATTAAAAAAATTAAAAATTAAAAATTTTAAAAATTACTCCGTATAAATGAAAAATTTTAAAAATTAAAAATAAAAAATTTAAAAAATAAAAATAAAAAATTAAAAATTCCAAACTGAAAAATGAAAAATTATAAAATTAAAAAAGTAAAAAATAAAATAAAATAAAATTATGACTCATGACCATAGGAGTAATATTCACAATAGTTAGACATGTATCTATTTTTTTAAGTAAGCTATCAAATAGAAGTAAATTGCGAAAATATTTTCATTAAATCTTTCCTCCTATTTCCTCCAACCAAACACAAATTTTTATCAAAATCCTTCCTTCCCCTTCCCTTCCCTTCCCTCCTTGACTCTCCCCTTCCCTCCCCTCCTTTGAACCAAACAAGGCCTAAAAGTTGTTGTTTTGTTATGATGGAAAATGCAAGCACAAAATGCTGTGCTAAATAAATATCAGGGACTGGGGGTATTGAGAGAAGCAAGTTACTGCTGACCTTCCCTTCTAATGTTTCAAGTAGAGTAGTAGCCTTGACCGAGAGTGGTCCGCTGAGGCTCTTGGCCTAGGATGAAAACAAATTATTTTTGGAAACCCAGTATCAGTGTTAACAACACTTATGGAAAAATAAATGACAAAAAGTTTACCAGAGCATTTCTATCACCAGGACTAAGTGAAACAGGTTCAGGATTTTGAGACTCTTCAACTTCAATTCCACTTTTCAATTTATTGTGTACATCCTACATTTATAGAACTTGCATGGTCAGAGACCTAACTAATTATTTTCGATGTACTGCCCTATAGAATCCATAGCAAAGGAAAATACATGAAGGCAAAAAAACAATACTTTGCATAGCTTACCAGGTTAAAGAGCAAAATGTCCACAATGTAAGTTCCTGTAGTTCGCAATAAATGTTTGTGTAGAATAATCTGAGCATAGAAGGGGGAGTACTCTATCAATACGCATGAAAAATTCCAACCTAGTAAACTTGAGCTGTGTAGAAACTTACTGAGGTTGACTGGTCATCTTCAAACAAATCCAGAGCTTTTTCATAAAGCTGCATATTCAAGAAAGACTGGAAAAAGAAGAATAGAACCCCAATCAGGTAACTATTATGGCTAATCAATTAGTGATAACATTTCCATCATGCTTAATTAGAAATTTCAGCCAACATGAAAATGTGATGGAAATAAACAGTTCCATTATATTCAATAGCCAACATGCATGAGACACTAGCTAATTACCTCATCAAGCTTCCGCTGCAAATTATCAAGTACTTTTTTAATTTCCTGTGAATTTTCTGTAAATGCAGTCCTCCTTCTTTCCTTCCAAGAACTAAGGAGCAGAGGTCTTAAATGGCTTGACAAAGGCTCAAGAATTGTCTCGGGGTCATCTATACAGAGTTGAACCGTCTTATTTTCAAAATTTAATCATGAAATTCTCTTATCAGTTGAAATATTCAGGGATATACTGTCCAATCATACGGTACAAACCTTGTTCCACAAAGTCAGGATTTAGAGAAACAATCTTTTGAGTAATCCATTCTTTTGAAATAAGGTTAGAAGGATCATCTTCCTTTTTAGCATTTAATTTTGATGATGCCTCCTGTGAGGTAGATGAACTCCTGCCTTTCTTATGGTCTTTCTTGGATTTAGATGGGGCATAATCGTTGTTATCAAGGCCAGCTTCAGCAGCACCTGCCCGAGTATTACCAGCAGATTTTCCTTTTTTCTTCTTGGATCCTTTCTCCAAGGCTTGTTTATTACTGCCACCATTATCACTGGTCTCTGCCAAATTACTGGTAGTACCTTTACTAGCAGGTGCTTCATCATATATACCAGACCTAGCTATCATAGAAATATTTAAGGTGTCCAGCTCCTTTTCTATACTGTCAAATAGACCCTATCAAATATATAATTCCAAAAGTAAACAAAAATAGAACACAAACTTTATAAAAAATAATACTGAGCATAACAATTAGGTTTCATAATAAGTCAACATCAAAATCAAAGTAAGCAGCCAGCGGTATTCAAGATAGATTGTTGATGATTTATAAACTTACCTTAACAAAGGTACTGCTGAAAATATACGACTCCCCCAAGATAAGTGCCTTATTAGTCTGAAAATCAAGATAAAATGAGACACTGCATAATGTGGTGGACTACAATAAATAACAATAAGGCAAGTGTCATGACTACCAACAGACCACCTTGTGGGCTTTTTGAACAGATGGACAAAAAGATAGAATCTTAGATGCATCTTGGGAACCAAAGGATGCTGGCAACACTGAAAGTGAATCAATCCTATGATATCCAAGAAATTATAAAAACATTACCACTAAGCTTATCTGCATGAATTTATAATTAAAGGCAACTTTATTATACAATTAAGTAACACTATAAAATAATGCCCCGATCCCAACTTTCTGCGACTAAGGTGCTCAAAATGATGTTGGTGAGCTATGTGTTTCTTTAGATCTAATATTCTAATGCCTCTAATGCAAATTACAATCAACAGAATCAACTGTATTAAGGTTCTGACTTTAGAGTACAACGTTGTACAGAGTGGTATTTAGCTGGACAACTGAAGCAAAATGGAAGCCTGCAAGCAACTAAGTACTCCATGACAGCAAACAAAAGCTCTAAAAACAAATGAAAAGGAACCAAAAGTGCATATAAGCTCTCACCAGCTACCACGTTCCATGGCATCCTCTACAGAAGCATCCAACATTTCAATCATTGATGGGTGAGCAAATATTGTAACTAAAGGTGTACCTTCAGGATATCTGGACTAAATTGAAATGCAATGTGAACCAACAATAACATGAATGCAGTACAATGCCATTGGTAAGACAGAACCGCAGAAACAACATGGTAAATAACAAGAATTTTATAATATTTATGAGCATTTTAGAGGTTCAAATAATAATAAAAACATATAGCATCAAGATACCTGCAGGAATTGAATGGGCTGTGGTATTCCAAGTTTCTGCAAAGCTTCATAACTAATAAACGAATTCTGGGTTATCACGAGCCAACAGATTAGCAACAAGAAAACAGAACCTTATGGAAAGAACAATGTAAAGGTAGATATACCATCAGAAACTGGAATATGTAATTCAAGCTTTCCAGTAGTTTTAATTGTTAATGTATGTCTCCAATTTTGAATCTTATGAGAGAATATAAGTTTCCAACTTCATTATGATTCCCAACCTTAAGGTTTAGGACACTGTTTGTAATTGCGCAATGCAATTGCGCCTCAACTAATAATTGCTGGACTATGGCACAAAATGGCATTGCTTAATGTGTTAGGAGTGTGGCGTAAACAATATTGCAATGAGGCGTACACAATAAGGCGCTAAGAGGCGTACGCAATATGAGGTTAGGGTGAAAGGGTATTATTTGTGCCCACTCGACCTACTTTTTAATATTTATAAATAATAGGTTATGCGGTTATGGTCCCTATTTCAAATCACTAGATGCCTAGATGGTGATGATTCGACTTTTTAATCATCAATCTAATAACTTAAATTTTAGTATGTTAGAAATTTTGTATTGATGAATGGTTCTAAAGTTTTTGCTATTTTGTATTAATTTGAGTGCACTTCGTATTACTTTGCTAGGATTATGGGCTCATTATAATTTGTTAGAATACGACATCTGATGACTTTTGATGAATAAGATGTTTTATATTTTCTGTATACACAACATATCTGTTACATCTTGGACAGATGCCTAAGTGCGCAATGAGGGCTTATGCAATATCCAGTTTTAAAAAAATGCCACACCTTCAATACACAATTTTGAACTTTGGTTTAGGATAATGGTCTACAGAAATAATGGTGTTTACCATAGTTTAGATGATCTGGGAATGGGAGTGGGTCATCATGGCATCCATCAATTCACAATGTATTCATGAGAGTCGCACTACCATGGGGAAGGGTGGAGTGCGACTCTGATTCCACAATTTACTAGTCGCTTTCCCCAAATATAAAATAACTCATTGGGTATTATTTCTATTTCAAATATTAAGCATTTAAAATTCTGTAAAAACATTCTCATTTATTTGTTGCTAAGTTTTATAATCACTTATAAGCGAAACTAACAAAAAGGGAATGTATTTATGAGATTATGAGATTTAACAAAAAATGTCAACAACTTAATTTTAGTAATATTTTATTTTAGATAGTATTTAAAAAACTTACATATTTAAAAAGGATATAAGGTGATGTTGAACACAAAAACCAAAATTTGGAAATAATAAAAAAGTTTATAAAATTAGCAATGAAAGAAGGCTTACAAGCTAGCTTGTCCACATGAATAATTAAAAGGAACATAATGATGGAGACATGAAGTATTATACTTAATTACTCCATAATACATTAATAATAAAACCTGAATCAGAATAAAATAATATTATCTTTCTTAATTTCATTTAAAAAAACACTACGTATGTATTATATGTGTATGGTTAAAAAAGTAATATTAATTTGAAACAACCTACAATCTTATTCCTATCCTTCATCGTCATTCCAACTATTCAGTGTAAGATGACATTATAGAACCAGCAGCACTCCACACTCCTAATCAGGATTCTCGTTTCTAAGGCTACTCACTTCAGTCAGCAACGTAAACGCATCACAAGTTATTACTACTTACAAATTTCCAAATTATTTGCACACCTTCTGTTTACAAAAAACTTTTGACCACGATGAAATGAGTGCACAAATTAAAATTGGACAAAAAATCAAATCAGAGAGTGATACATAAGTGGAGAGAAACCTGCGAAAAGAAAGAATCCACACTCTCCTTTTGAGCTATGGCAAATACCTGCGAGATTTGCTGCAAAGTCATTCAACATGCAAGAACAATAATAGGAGAATTGAATACGATAAGAACATTATAAAAACATTTCAACAGTATATTAGCCACACATACAGAAGGTGTCCAATGAACACCAGCACGAAGTGTTCCGAGAATATCTCCTGCTTTAACAAGCCCATTAAATAATGATTGGAAAAAAGAGCTTTCAACAGCTACACCGCCTGCTCCATCGACTTCTTGTAGTAAAATTTGCAACGAACTCCATAAGGATGTCAAATTCATAGGAACAAAAACACCCCTTGCAGCACCACGAACCATTGCATTCACTCGTGAAACATATGCTGGTGTATACAACTGACCCCCTTCAAGTCTACCTTTCACCTACACACAACAAGAAAAAAAAAATAAAATCACAAAAAACCAGTATTACCAATTATGCTATTATCCAAAAAGAAAATGATACCGAAGTCCCAAGTCGAGGCTCTATAATGGACACAACTAGTTCCGAGCCAACTTGCAATTGTGCTGCTATTTCAGCAATTGTGATTTGACTGCACTCTTGCAGTTTTTCATTAATTTCTTCAGCAGCAATGTCCCAGTAAGAATTTGATATAATTTCTCCATTGATCAACATTAGTGATGCGTCTTTTGAAACTACATGTTCTGATTGTTTCTCGACGTGGTACAAGTCCACTCCTATAGTGCTGGCCAAGTCTATCAACGAAACACGCCCCAATTCCTTAATTTGTCCAACTATTTCATTCCTGAGATGTTCCTACCACGATTTAAACAAAGCATGACTCTTCAGGACAAATATATGTCCAGTTAGATAGGTTAACAATTGTAAATATCTAACTTGAATATGATAATAACAATCAATTTCAGAATATGTGCATGTGTATATGCATATATGAGCGTACAGGAGTGATGAACTCTTTTCCGGAGACGGTGTGGAGGAGGTCGAATTCGAGAATTTGGAGGTGCTGGAGCTTATGAACTAATTCGACAACATTCCGCTCCGATAAGCGGACGGTGGATTTCGCTTGTTGAGCGAACTCGAACTGTCTCTGCAATTCCAGAAGCTCTTCATCCATCTTCCAATCCGATCCCGATATTCCGAGATACAATTCAATCTGGGTATGGAGGGGAAATGCTCCGATCAGACGGGATGGACTGATCGGCAGACACTCGTGACTAACGGGCCTTAACACCTTTTTGATGGTCAACTGGCAGACGCAAATTATACGGTACAGGCCGCGTGTACGGTTATTTTGTAATTTTCACAACTTTTAGGTGTGTTATTATCTTTCTTCTCCGCCTTTTACAACGATCATCCTCTTTAGATTGACGCATCTTCTCCAGCTCGTTGTGATCTTCCTTCGAGTTTGGTTTTGGAGCGATCATCTTCTTCAGCTCGTTGTGATCTTCCATCAAATTTTGTTTACAACGATCATCATTCAAAATATTTCATCTGTAGTCTTCGAATTTGGTAAGAATCTCATCCTTTTATTCTATTCTTTTGTTTTCTGATCTGCAGTTCTTCATCTATTCTTCGTTATTCTTCATCTATATTTCGTTAGATTTTTGCAAATTGTTTTTATTTTTCTTCACTATTTTAATATGATCACTAGATTATGAGCTCTTTTTTAATTTACTGTAGGTTTACTGTAGATATTTATCTACTAAGCAATTCACTTTATTTGTATGATTAATTGATAACACATTTTGATGTTATAGTTTTGTTTCAATGAGCAATATGTCTATGTATTTGGTTTATCCTTTTTGCAGATGAAATTGCTTGTTCTAGACATGTAATTGAAGACATTGACTCCAGAGGCGAAATCTTTGTTGTTGATTCCAGTAATTCCTTTTGTTTTTTCTTATTCTCTTTTTTTAGTTCTGGATTTTATTTGCACTTTTTACTTTTTTTCCCCTTTTCCCTTGATCCAGATCATTTTATTTTAGCTTCAACTTTTGTTTTTTTGCAGCTAGCCATTCTTCTAGCAGTTTTGATGTTATACCACAATATGATTCTTCCATTTTAGTTAAAGAAGCTGAAGTGTCTAAGCTTCTTGGAAAAACTGTTCTGTCATAGAAAGAAGCTTTTGATTTGTATAATGAGTATGCTTTTAGGATTGGTTTTGGCATTTGTTATTCTACTCTACGGAAGAAAGAAGGTTGATGTGATGTTAGAGGCATAGAATTTTGTTGCACTAAACAAGGTTCTAAGAAGAATAAAGGTGTACAAGGTTCTACGGAAGAAAAAAGGTTGCAAAGCAAAAATTTATTTTGAGTTTAGAAGCAACGGTGAATGGGTTGTGGTTAGACATCTTATGGATCACAATCACTCTTTCTGTCCTGGTTCTTTAGTTCATCATGTGAGGTCTCATCGTGATGTTTCTTCTTTTAAGTTGACATATTTGAATCATTTGAGAAATAGAGGAGTAAAAATAGTTGACGGTTTTCGTTGTTTACAAGCTGAAGGAGATGGTTCTCCTTCAATTGGTTTCGTGTTGCGCGATGTCTACAATGAATTGGAAAAAACAAAAAAAAATGTTTTGAAGGTTGTGATGCAAATACTTTGATTAATATCTTTAGGAACAAGCAAACAAATGAAGAAGACTTCTTTTTCTCTTTTGAAGTTGATGCTGATGGTTCCTTAGTTAGCTTCTTTTGGAGAGACAAGCAAATGAAAGAGGACTATTTAGCAATTGGAGAGTTGGTTTTTCATGACACTACATATCGTACAAATAAGTACGATATGATTTGTGGTCCTTTTGTAGGTATTAACAATCATACGCATAACTGTATGTTCGGTTGTGGGTTTTTGTTGAATGAACGCATTGAATCCTTTGAATGGCTTTTTACCACATTTTTTACTTCAATGGATTCAGTTCATCCAAAAACCATTATGACATATCAGTCTGTATCCATGGCTGCTGCTATATGTAAGGTCTATCCTAGTTCAAAACACCGTCTTTGCATATGGCACATTATCGAAAACTCTAAAAAACATATACGAGACTTGAGGAATGACGAAGGCTTTTTGGACTTATTTGATCATGTTTTGAAACTTTGTCACACAGTTTCTGAGTTTGACTATTATTGGAACAGGTATCATCTTTTACCGCACTTAGTTTTCTTTCTTTTTTATTAATTTATTATTTACACTGTCATTTTTTACGAATGAGTAATTGCTTCATTATGATGAGTATACTTTTGTTATTTTTTATTTTTACTTTTGCAGGATGGTGACTACTTTCAATTGTTCTGAAAATGCATGGTTGAAGAAACTATATGACCTTAGAGAGAAATGGTGTCCAACATTTTCAAAAGATTACTTTTCTGCTGGCATTTTATCCTCACAGCGAAGAAAGTCAACGAATAATTCTTTGTCTAGAAAGTTGAATGCAACATCTTCTCTTTGTGATTTCTATCACTTGTTTTGTGAAGCTGTTAGTGAATGGCGTATTCATGAGAGATCAGATCAACAACGTTGTTGGGATGGCTTCCCCGAGATATCAATCCCACATGTTGGTATATTACATAAAGCTTCTCGAATTTACACAATTGATGCTTACAAGCTTTTTGAGAAGGAGTTTGTTCGTGCTATGTCTTTGAAACATGAGGTTAAACATTGTTTTGGTTCTGTTATTCGATATTTAGTTTGGATGCCTCATATTGATCAGTTTTCACATTGGGTTTCATATGACACGACATCACATATGTTGATTGTTCATGTAAGAGGTTTCAAGAAGTTGGTATTTTGTGCTGCCATAGTCTTCGTATATATCATATCCACTGCGTCGAAGTTCTTCCTGATTCTTATGTTTTAAAACGTTGGACTCGAATAGCAAAGTCAGTTGAACAAAGTGAGTCATCTATGTTATCCAATACTTCTAATAGTTTGCCTTCTGTTTGGAGAATGCAAATGCAAAGGAAACTCCACAAACTTCTGTGTTCTAGTGATTCTAATGCTTCAGTGAGACTGCTTTGTGAAGAGTCGTTCAAAAAATTGAAACATGATGTTGAAGAATAAGTTGGCAGTATTTACTTCTCAGACAATGATTCAGCTTCAATTGGAATTGGTACAATTTCTAATCCCAAAGGTTCAAGGAGAAAAGGTGAAAGAAATGTTCGGCGCAAAAGTATTGTTGAGATTAAATCAAATCAAGCCCGAGGAAGGAAAACGTCAACTCCAACAAGTACCTCAATTATTGAACCCTGAAAATTGTAAACACTCTTAAAAGCTTTGTTTTTGGTTACATACTTTTTATTATTCAAAAAAGAACATCTTCTTTTATCTTTTATCATCATTTTAGTTTCTGTGATGTGCACTTATAGACTTTACATGTTCTTTTCTATCTATGTGTTTGTTTTAGTTTTTACTTTTATTACATTCCCCTGATATAATATTCTTTTGAGTAATTCTTTCTAATATAATGCGTAACTTGTGTTAACAAAATGAGTATTGAAATGAATTTAGTTTTTTAGTTGTTGAATTTAAAATGAATTTTGAATCCAAAAATCTCTAAACTATGTGTTTACTATTTCGAATTAAATATAAATTTTTTATTTTTAAATTGTTAAAAAAACACTTTCACATCAAATTCAATGTTTCAGTTCTTACTCACTTCGGTTGTGCCATTATAAATAACTTAATATTGCTTGAAACAACACTTCCTCAATTGGTATTTAATAAGAAAATTAGTAAACCTAATTTCATACTTAATGTTCTTAACTTCAATTGATCAGTTCTCAAATTGTGTATAGTAACAAATAAAATGAGTATACACATTACTAATAATGATCATATATAAATACAACCATTATAAACTTCAGCCAATATTACCAATAACATAGTACAATGTAGTTAGGGGAGAGCACGGGTTGGGTTCGGGCGGGTTGGGTTGCGAAATGGTAAACCCGTTCGGGTATCGGGGTTATATTCTTTAACCCAACCCTTAAAGAAAATGATAAAAATATTTCAGATATTTTAAGTTTCGGATTCCCTCAGGTATATTATGGGTCGGGTTTCGGGTATTTCGGATATCCAAACTTTTGAACTAATTTCCCTACAATTTAGTAGTTCTTTTAACAAAACGAGTTGAAAATGCATAACACAATCAAGAAAAATAACACAATATACAACTTACATAAGTAAGTAACTACATACAACCATAAGGGGCATATATGATATAGATATACCCCAATTGACAAAGTAGGAGTTTGAGTGTTAAGTGTTTAACAAAAGTGACAAAAATTACACAATAAAAGGGGCATACCCCAGTTCATAAAGAAAGACAGTTAATGAACTTACTAGTTCATAAACTGACTAACCAAATAATGTTTAATAGTGTTTAACACATAACAAAATAATCATAACATAAATTGACAAAAACAATCCGTAAGCGCCCATTCAACTGTTTATACTGCCTTCAAACTTGAACCTATAAAAAAATAAAATAATGTCATTAAGTACTAAAGTACATATCAAGCCTCTAAACAAATTATATTGTTAAAAACCTGTAAAACTGTAATCATCACACTGTCTAAGGTAAATATTGGCTCAGATTGCTAATTTTCAGATCATATTTTGTATGGGGGCATATTATATCAAGTAAATGACGACAACTATAATTACCTAGCCATAACTTAAGAGAACACCAACCCGTGACAAATCAGTTTGTTGTGGAAGCTTCATCATAGCCAAGTAATTGAGTAAATGATTGACATGATAAGGGAGAACAAGCTTGTATTACCATTAAATAGTTAACAAGTGGCATAGGCTCAGATAGCTTATTTTCCAATTCAAATTTTGTATGGGGGCATAAACATTTGAAGTAACTGGCGATAACTATAGGCCTAAAGTTACCAAGCCAGCACTTAAAAAACAACACCAACCCATCAAAAATCAGTTGATTGTGGAAGCTTCATCATAGCCAAAGCCATTAGCCTATTACCCAATAGATGATTGAAATGATTAAAGGAGAATAAGCTCGTGTTACCATTCATTCTAAGTTCAGAAATCACAAGGGGCAAATGGGCAATAAGCTCATGTTACCATTCATTACTAGATTTATTGCTTCCATCATCCAATCAAACTGCTAAACAAATTAGTCATTCACACTGTCAAGTCTCAACAATAAATAAATAATGAAAGACATGAAAGCAGTTTTTTACTGCAATAGGATCCTGAGAAGATCCACCAACATGGCCATCAGGATCAGCAG